CAACTGCATGCTCACATGAAAAACTCTCTAATTGAAATTGTTTACAAGTGCATGTTCCATCACTTAAATCTACCATATATGTCGTATGACGTGCACATTCCACAGAGAAGCGCAACTCGTCTAGTGGTTTGACATTTAACTTTCTTGCAGCCTTTGCAGCCTTGAAGAGCTTTACCTCTTGTGCTGGGGCTAGCACGGTTGTGCAATTATGTGATTTCGCACGTCGATCGTGAAACCAGTGCTGCAGCTTCGTACGGGTATTCTCAATCAGTGCGAGAATGGGTAACTCTTGATCCCTCTTAAATAATGCATTGAGAGACTCCGCGTTATTTGACGTCATCATGTTGTATCGATGTCCTGGAAAATATGAGTGCGCCCAATGTTCAATCCCCATTTTCGTTAGATAGTCCCATGCCGAAAATGATTTGCTTCCTATTTCAACCATGTACCTATTACACTCTTCAATACTGTAAGCTTCGGCCGCTTTCCGAAACAATGAAATGATGCCTTTGCCCCGATACCTGATCTTCAAGTTGCCTTGTATATGGTACATGCAATACCCATGATGTGCATCGGGAAAAATTTCAACAATACCATTTATTATAGACTGTTCCCGATCGGTGACAAATGCAAGGTCCTCGACTTCTCCGATTACTTCTCTTAGCTTTGTGAAGAACCAACGCATTGACAGATTATTCTCGTTATCAACTATGCCGAATGCAAAAGGGTAAATTTGAATGTTGGCATCTTGACATGTAGCAATAATCAACTGGCCTTGGTATTTGGATTTCGGAGTTATACCGTCGACTAGAATTAGGGGTTGCATAGCATTTTGAAATCCCCGAATGCATTGTCCAAGAGCCATAAAGAAAAATTTGATGCAGTTATCGGCATCCGTCTCAATAAAAAACGCTGAGTCAGGATTAGTTTTTTCCATATTATGGCAATACCTAACCAATTTAGCATAGGTTTCCTCTGCCGAGCCCATTAAATCCTCCAATACGCATTCTTTGGCCTTCCAGGCCTTCTAGTAGCTCATGACTACTCCGTACTCTCGACGAACATCGTTAATGATGTCCAATAGTCTGTAGATTGTCCGTGGATCTTGATACTTGTGCATTATTTGTCGATCAATAAATTAAGTTCGGGCTTGCCTGTGATCATTTCGACACACTCCCACTTCACAAGTATGTTCTCGTGTATATTTGCGAATTATGAAGCACTCATTCGTGTCCATCTTCGTTGCTCGCAAACGCCAACTGTAACTATCATTTACGCATATAGCGTCAACAGCGACCTATTCAATTTTTTTACTCTAAACTCGAAGTTGTATTTCAGTGCAATTAGGTGCACAGCTTCTTACAACTCTTTCTTCGTTTCAAACAGTTGCTCGACATACAAATCCTCATTACAGGAACCACACGTGAGGAGTTAGAGGACGGTCCATTTGATCTAGCCCCCGAGGTGCCACCCCACTCATATTTCTGCCGGGATAAACCAATCAAGTCTTCGTTTGTAAAAATCTTTTCATTTTCATTCTCTTTGTCACGAGCAGCGGAGGGAATTTTGTGTGAAACTATCGCTGGAATAACCACATCATCTTCACGAGTTATCTCCACCGTATCCCAAAAATCATTAGCATTGTGATCCCCACCTCCCGAGTTTACTTGTTCATCTTCGATGACATCCTTCCTTACTAAAGTCACGCAAAGAGGAGTCGTGTGCTTATTGTTCAGTTCAATCAGATAATTCACTTCATCAACAGAAGAAATCATTATAGGTGGAATCGGAACTGATACATGCTCGCTGAATTTAAATTTCAATTCCATGTTGTACTGAGAAAGATCAACATTCAACTTATTTTGCAAATCATTATAGAGTTCTGCATACGATGTACCTGATGATATGGAAATTGCGATACCACCACGTTTATCACTCATCCATTTCCATACTCATTGATCTTTTTGTCCAATTCGAAATCATCAAAGTAACAAACTGGGACTACAATCATATTTGCATGTTGAAACAAAATTTTTAATTACATGACAAAAATCAACAGCAATAAAAATAACCCAAAAAAGGGGAAGGAAAGAAGAAAACAGCCGACTGTTTGGCCGGCTGCTGTTTGATTGGCTGTTAAACAGCCGGTCAAACAGTCGATTCACCGACGCCGGCATTAATGTAGATGATTTTTTTCCGGTTAAATACTTCAAAAATTACAGATCTATTATATTTTTTTCTACTAATCATTAAATGTCGAAACATAATTTATCGATTTAAACATACAATAATTTAACAAAAACAAGATTAAATTTGCGTATATAAACTTACCGAACCAACGAGATTGATGTTTACAAATTTTTCGAATTTCGATTTCGATAAATTTTTAAGTTTCTGCAATTGAAGTAGAGGATGAGAGTGTTTTATTTATCTTTGTTGGAGTATACAGATAAGAAATGTAGGAAGTGTTTGATTTTTATTTGTTAAGTGAAAGGGTATTCACGTCTTTTGAAAAAAATCAACTTTTGTAATTGTATAATGTATTTAAGGGTATTTTTTTCTTTTAACATTGGATAGGCCAATTTCATAATATCCCTTTATTGAGAAGTCAATGTGAAATTTAAATCCTTTGATCAGGTTAATTTTAAAATTACCCTGAAAGTACTTTTAGGAATATTAAAACCATAGCTGAATGCCTTACTGATGAACTCATAAATGCAGCCAAGGGGTCTTCAAATAGGTGAGATGGCATAGCCTAGCCCTTTTCCTATATTTACATGCCTCGACCTCTTATTTGTTTCTTCCTTTTTCTCTAGTGCCATTTGTTTTTGACAGATTTAGCAGAATCTTTGCTCATTTCATTTTATATGCATGTGGCTATGCTATTAAGAAGAAGGATGAGATAGAAAGGGTAGCGAAGGCTAATCGTTGAGATGGCCGAATGGGTGATTGGAGAATTGTTATATCTACAGAGTTATTCTTTTGTACTTTTTTAGTCTCAACTTGTTCTTGGCGGCTTTGTTTTCTGGTCATCTGTTGAAACCTTAATTTAATTTCTTTGGAATTGTCATAAGCATAATGTTGAACCAGACTGCATTTGTTTTAATGGTTTAACTAATTTCACTTGTTTATGTATTATTCTCATTTGTTTTTAGCACTATTTGAAAAGTGATTATCTCGCTACAATTCCTATGTTCCTTGGAACGATTATATTTCAAAAATTTGATGAATTGTGTGACATATAATGGATAGAGATTTGCTTTGTTTTAGAGTTATATGTTTCATTGGCCATTAAACTTTATATCATGTCACGGTATACTCACCCAACTTCATCAATTGTCCCATTGGCCGCTGAACTTTGCTCCGTCCAACTTCATCACTCACCCGATCAAAACTGTTAATAGACGTGCTGACATGGTGGATGGAAAAATGATGTGGCTGTTTAACTCTTTCCAAGTGGTAAGTTAGTGACAAATCAACTTCCACATCAGCAAAATTAAATTGAGCCTTACCAAACACGACTTAACAAAAACAAAATTCTATTGTTGCAAATTGTGAACTCAATTTCTCCTCCCAAATCACAAAGAATCCTAATTCACCTCAACCAATCATCTTCCCTAAATCAATTGTTCTCGGTTTCGAACCCCAACTTCAACTCAATAACCCTAATCCCCAAACATTTACCTCAAGAACCCTAACTCTCAAAATCAATTCAATAGACCAGAAGAGTACAGACAGTCTGCCTAATCCCCAAAATTAAATAGCAAAGTATGTGAACAAACAATCTGCCATTGTTCTACATTCTTGAAGGCGTGAGCATGGACGGTTCGGATGAATGTAATTTCGACATTTTAGTAGGCTTATTGGACTTATTTTATCTGCTTCTTATGTCACTTCTGGCATTTTGTATTTTGAAACATGATTATATTTCTACATTCTTATTTCTTTTTTTATTGTGTAATAATTGGACCAAAAAAATTGAAGTTGTGCGACAACTGATTTGGAAAAGATGTTTGCAGTGTTTAATTAATGTGAAAACAGCTAGTCATAGTGAAGTCCGTCAAACTTTAGTAGAAAATGCATGCTTTTTGTTTTTGTGTTTTTGATAGCGAGGGAAGCTTGCTTCTTATTAACAATTTTCCCATGTAGCACCTTCAATGTTAGACGGGGAAATGACCGACATGATGGAAATGCGAATGGTTGCCAGTGAAGATCAAGTGACAAATGAACGAGAAGAACAAGGGCTCCAATTCATTTCGACTCTCATGATGACACGTGAAGTGCGGAGAGGATGCATGCAAGCTAGACCAGCATCTAATTTTCCCGGGCAGTCCGTTGCGTCTCACGTTCCAACTGATAAAGGCCAGAACGAATCGCATGACATAGAGGACATGGTTTGTGCGATGCTATCAACATGAAGAGGAGATCCGAATGTGGGGACAAACACAGTCACGCACAAAATGAATTGGAACATAAAATTCATTATGATGTAAATGGATTTTTTGTAAATGATGCTGCAATTTATGTAAATTAATACATGTAGCAATTTACCTTTTTTGGCCTTTGGTATCTATCTAGTATTACCTTTTGCCTACATCCATCTAGGTGAAAGGGAAAGTTAATTGACGTGCATTTTCAATTGGATAACACTATTTGCACATAGTTTTTTATACATTAAGGTATTCGTACACTCACATGGAGTGCGGTCCACTCGGATAAAATATTCGAGCAAGCCCCACCCCACATGAGTGTGGGACACTTTGATGTACAAAAAATTATGTACATCAAGCAAAGTCCTTTTCAGTTTGGCCATGCAAGTAAAGGATATCTGCATCCATCTAGGAGAAAGGAAAATTGGTACCAGCATAAATTCCTTCGACCATGCAAGTAAGTTTGTCGAGTATAATAGACGGAATGCTAGAGAGTGATGGACTTAAAGCATTTTTACAAAGTTGAATGAGATTTCACAAATATTTTAAAGTTCGGTGAAGTTTTGAAGATGCGACTAGAAGTTCACTTATATTTGAAATGATGAATCCCTTATTCGAGATATCATGGGAAAAATCACTCCAAAACCAATATATGTAGTCCAGAAACTAGCAATGCCGATTACAATAACAAAATGAATTTTACATTGCAAAAACTAGTCCAGAAATCTTGATAGGGTCGTACTAAAAACACTGCAAGATTACAATAACAACGGTACACCATGTCCATTACAATTTAATTTTTTTAACGAATAACATAAGCGGTTCAATTTCAATGAGCTCTTCCCTCTTGTTTCTCGTTCTTTTTATCTCATTTTCCCTTGCGGATAGTACCATTGAGTGAGATCCCCACGTCCTTTTCTCCATAGCAACATTCATCTTTTCCCTTCAATAATTTATTCTTGAAAAAATGGGACAAACAAACCGTCTAGGCTGATTGCTTAATTGGAAATAGAGCCCTTCTTACATTGCCAAATGCGACATGTAACATAGCAGAGTCAGCTTTGAGTTACTTTGGGATAAAGTTGGCTCAGAGAACAAAACTCACAATATTAAAAGATATTTCTGGGATCATAAAACCATCCAGGTAAATTTCTGGACTTTGATTTAAAATGCAGAAAAATGTACCAAACAAAGTAAAAAATTATGTTTCTTTGCTGCTGGTGTCATAGGATGACCCTTCTTTTAGGACCACCATCCTCTGGTAGAACTACCCTATTGTCGACTCTAGCAGGACATTAAACTCTAACTTAAAGGTCGACTAATCAATAGCTAAGTTTACGATAATTCTATGAAGTCAGTAGTTAAATGTTTAAACTTTCAATTCACTTTTCAAAATGTTGAATAGGCAAGTGGAGAGATCAATTACAATGGACATTGGCTCAATGAATTTGTCCCACTGAAAACATCAATATACATAGGCAAAAATGATGTTCATGCTGTTGAAATGATAGTAAGAGACTCTAGATTTCTCTACAAAGTGCTAAAGGGTTGGATCTCGATATGCTACTTCCGATTAAATTCCATGTGGCCCATTGATCTACTGTGAAATTAATCATGGCTTTCTAACTGTAGTTTTTAGCGGTTCATCATATTTTATTATTGATGACTAAATTGTATATTGTTTCTTTCCAGCTTTTACTGGGACAAATAATATAGAGATCATAGCTGCAGCAAACACAAACCCAAGGATCAAGGCCCGAGGGACATGTGGTGAGTACGAACCAAAATAACAATCATTTTAGAGTAGATATTGATAGTGAAACAATATCAGACGAAATCGACAAGGCAGCGAACAAATTTTACCTTTAATTCAGTTCAAATCACGGTCACGATTCAACAAACTGTTGATTATTGTATCTGCAGTTCAAATTTCGGCAGATTGTTTGTACCCTTCTCACCGATTGAATTGATTTCTGAAGTTAGGGTTCTTGAGTTGAAGTTGGGGATTGCAACCAAGAACAATTGATTTGGGGAAGATGATTGGTTGAGGTAAAATTAGGGTTTTTCGTCATTTGGGAAGATGATTTGGGAGGAGAAATTGAGATTATGATTTGCAGCAATGGAATTTTTATTTTTAAGTTGTGCTTCATAAAATTGGTAAGTCATGTTTGGTAAGGTTCAATTAAATTTTGCTGATGTGGAAGTTGATTTTCACTAACTTACGACTTGGAAAGAGTTAACCGGCCATTTCATTTTTTCATCCACTACATCAGCACGTCTATGAACGATTTTGATCGAGTAAGTGATGGAATTGGACAGAGCAAAGTTTATTGGCCAATGGGACAACTGATAAAGTTCAGTGAGCAAATCGTGACATGGTATAAAGTTGAATGGGCAGTGAAACATTTAACTCTTTGTTTTATTAACTCCTATGGATAGTTAACATTATGTGGTATATGAAAGCCCAAAACTAGCTAATCAAGAGGAGAGTGAATTTGTTATTGCATCTTTCGAAAATAATTCTAGGCATACAACCAACACTCACTTAAATATAGCAATTAATCAAATATTCGTAAATATGAAAAAGAGCAAAGACTAAAATGAAATCACAAGTAATAAATAAAAGCAAAGATAATTAAAAGGGAAGAGAAATCAAACGATATGATATGGAGGCTCGATCCAATACAATGATCTATGTCCCCCGTTACCAAGTTTTCCATCACGAGCAAGCATTTTTCACTATACTGATTGACTTATGGTGCAATCCAACCTTCTTACAACGCTTTCGATGACTTACAACCAATGAGCACTGATCCTTTTACAATATTGAGATTTTCGGGACCTCAACCTGACCCACAAGTTTGAAAATAAAGAGTCTACAAATAGAGACATCTCTTGTAATGAAGGATATATTCCAAGTTGAGTTCAATAAGAGAAGTTGGCTAATACTTTAGAAAAATGTCAATAATTGAAGCTAAAGTGTTAGATAAGAAAAACTTTGATGAATAAAATGATTTTCAAAGGTTGAATCAATAAAAAGTTTTTCTAATGTAAATGAGTTGAAAAGATAGATATAGAGAAATGATTGAGTAGTTAAGATCGATAGTATCTCAGTTTAATGCTCATGAAGGTCTATCCTTAAATGCAAAATGATTTAATATTTATAGCAGCAAAATCGTCAAAAATTCTGTTTTACCGGACGAGGGGACCGGATGTCCTATAGCTTACCAGATGGTTAACTAACCTTTTTTTTAGAAATCAGAAAGTTCAATTTCTAGACTTTTGGACAAACTTGCTGTACAGGACGTCCGCTAGGATTATCGAACCCGTCCTCTAGGCAAGAGTTACAGGATGTGTCTGCCAGAGTTACAAGACGCGTCCTCTAAGCCAGTTCGCGTCTGGCAGTTAGAAATTTCTTTTTTTAATGTTTTATAAGGGTGTAATCTCATGAAAGATGTTTCTAACTTGTTTTTCAATATTTTTGACATTTCTTAATTAGGTTCATGCAGAAAAAATTATTTATGCAAAAATTCATGTTTGTTGTGCGAATAAACTTTCTTGAGTTTCAAATGATGTATTTGTCAAATACTAAAGTGTTTTACCCTTACATTTGAGATCATTGTTTGATTTGATGAAGTGCTCGTTGACTTGTTGTGTAGTTTGACTTCTACTTTGTTCAATTTGCGAAAACTCCAAAAGCATCCTTTTATCTTCAATTTACTACATTTATCATAACTTTTATAATCACTCAAATACAATTGTTAGTAATAAACATAATTTGTTTGTTATAATCAAAATGAGAAGTCAACCATAAGTCAAAAGTATATAGATTCCGAACATGTAGATCTGAATGATTTTAATGAAACGATGACATTTATGACCAGCATACATATTAAATGCACGATACGTTATGATAAGTTTGGATGCCCAAGCATAAAAGACCTTACACATATCTGAATGGTTTTCACAATTTGGGGCAAGGACAAGCACAAAACGGAACATGTAACAAACAAATGCAGTTGAAATTGTTGCTTCAATGATAAATTTGATGCTTTCTTCAATCCAATTTCAGCTCTTGCGGCTGAAGGGATGAGCTGAAGGGATTAGGAGAATGTGATAGAACCTCGAATGAGTCTTCTAGGAGGAGATGTCTCTAGACGTGGCCTTCCAGTCCCAATGAAAGAGGTTCTCCTTTCTCCACCATTTAACATAAGAAACCAAAGTATCCAACGCAAGACTTTGGGTGCAAAGATCCTATATGGGAAAAATATGTTGTACTAGCTTGGATATTTCACATATAGATCCCCTGTACATGCCTCAGAGACGATCAACTTTGCAAACTTCTCTACTGGACCACGAGATACATGTACCTTACACAGAAACCTCGAAAAAGTTATGTTTATTTTGGAAATATCAAATGAGGTGTAAAGCAAGGATTTAAATAGCTCTAGTTTGTATTCGAATAAGTCGAGTTTTGCTGCCTTGGATGGTTAAAGATAAATATGATTATCATATCTCGAGAAAAGATTACATATTTAACTTGTATATTTGATATAAATTTCCATAACTGTACTCATGTCCCATACAAATTGCTAAACATATCCTAAAGCAAGATGGTATTCAATTGAAAAAAGGAAAAATACTATTTATATCGGGTTGCAAATAATAATATGTTAGGCTGAATTGAAAAGCTTTAATCTGATTGCTTGGTGGTAATAAAATGATTTAGAGAGAACCCTTGTATATGTTACTGTAAGTGTTATACCCTAGATCCAATCGATTTAGGTTGTAAACACTTTTAATATGTTTAATGCATTTAATTTTGGAAAAATATATTATTTATTTAAATTATTTTTGTGATAAATAATAGTAAATAATAGAGTCCGAAAATCTAAGTTTAAGTGATTTGCTAATCACAAGGAGTTGTGATTGTGAGATACAAATTACGTATGATTGGATTTTGAATAAACCGTCGTTGTAAGTAATAACGAGATACGGATATCGTTAATACAGATAGACCATTATGTGTGTCATTTCTTACTTATGAAGTGAGTAGCTGATCTCACGAGCTAAAGTGTGGTGACACTCAAATGAATACATGGATGTTTTGTTATAGAACAAAACATTGGAGACCCGCTAAGAGATTCCACATGGATAACTCTCTGAGTGTCAGTGGTTAATCTCTAACGTTCGGAAGTAGAATTGGTCCTATGACTTGAGGTCATCATAGTGACTTGTATGAAGACAGCCATACTTTGATGGTGTTGGATGTTGCTCTACTAAGGGCCGCTAATACGATATCGTTTGGGTATGTCAATAACCATATGAAAGTTGTGAATGATCAATAGATGATTCGTCACTCTTAGATAGTAAGAGATTGTGATCTGCATTTCGTTTAATTAAGTCAATAACGAAATCCTTGGCCAAGGTATACATAGAAGTCGAAAAGGAGTTTTCGACTTATATTGACTTAATAGCAGAATGAAAGATATGATCGATAATCGAAATTGACACACTTCCATATCTCGTAGTTGATCGGATCACATTGACGAAGAGATTATAATTTCACGGTAAACGAACAGTTTTGGTTTTGTCATATCACGTGACATTTTCCGTCACATGTGTTGCCCTGATACATTGTTAGATGTCAATCTAGGACGGCGAGTGTGAATTTGCGATAAATTAAAAGAGTGTTTAATTTATCAGTTTTGATTAGATCAAAATAATATTTCACGTCGTTAGGCATCGTAGTCGGGAACCTAATGGGTCGCACACAAAAGAGAATTGGAAAATTGCAAATTGCCAATTGATTAATTTAATAATCGTTGGATAAATTAATTAATTAGATTTGTTATTTATATTCACGAATTAATTAATTAGATCAATTAATTCACGAATCGAGTTTAATTAAATGGATTAATTAATTCACGGACCAAATTTAATTAAATGGATTAATTAAATATTAGATCGGATCGGGCCGAGCCTGTTTGGGTTATAAATACATGGCTAGGGTTTGATGTCCATAAGGTTTTCATTATTCTTGCTGGCACAAGAGAAAATACCTTAGCAGTTGCAGTCTATTCTCTGTGTGGATTTCATTGGAGGCTGGACAATTAGACAGCTGTGAGAGGCAAATTCAAGTTGCTGAAAAAGAATAATGCAAAGGAGGTTACAAAATCAAGAAAAATGTATATTTCTCATCACAGTTCTTATCTAAATATAAGGCTAAATCCTGAATGAGAATCGAAACTGTTTAATTTCGCTGTGCATATTTAAATAAATTCCCAACAGTGGTATCATAGCCAACTTTGTATTTGTTAAGAATTGATCTATCTATTAATTAAATTAAAAGTTGATTTAATCATGTTTATCCATGAATCTAGCAATTGTAGTTTTAATTTTATTTTTTCAGAATCTAATTTTGAAAAAAAAAATTTGGATCTAGGCGGCGGGTGGCGACGTGTGGCCGCGCGCGCTGCCTGTAGCAGCGGGATTAGCAGCGCCAGGGCGACGCAATGCTACTTGCAGCGCCTTTGCGTTGCTGGTTGGCGGCTGGTCTTATGTTCCGGCGTCGCCACTGGAGAAAACAAAAGAAAAAAAAAATTTAGGGTTTGGTTGGAGGCGGGGGCTTCCATTGCAATTAATGTAATTGCAAGCCCTGCCTGCAATTTTTGAAAGGGGGTCAATTTGCAATTTTTAAATGGAGGGCTTTTTTGCAATTTACGAATAATGAAGCCCCTATTGTTAATTTTTAAATTGGGTCAAATTTGCAATTTCAAAAGGTGTTTTAAAATTTGTATTTTAAAATTGGTTTTAAAATGATGTTTTAATTTGGTTTGACCCATACCCTAATTTTGACCCAAAATTAAAATTTATTTAAAATTTGACGACTTTTATATTTTGTTAAAATTAGATTTTAACTTAAATATTTAATTTTGATTGTTAATTGAATTTTATTTTATTTGGGAATTTTGTCCTAAATTAAAATATTAATTCAATTTTATTAGAGTTGGACTCTAATATTATATTAATTAAAATTTGATTTCAATTAATACCACTTCCCGATGAAAATTAAAATTTAGAGTATGACTCTAATTTAATAATTAATTAAAATTCGATTTTGATTAA